CATGGCTGCACCATTCCCGCTAGCCTTACTGTAAACGACTTGGGCATACAGTACTCATGTACGTTCAGCTTTCCAGAGCAAGCAGCTTTTTAGGCCAACAAGGCACGCCAAACATCCGGATTCGTCATAAGGTCCCTGAAACTCCAGGAAAGCAGACTCCTATGCTACACCACCCATGTAAGACCACTCTTAGAGTATTGCCCAGTTGTCTACTCAAACATGAGCATAACCTCAAGAAGTGCACTGGAGAGTGTCCAGAGGGCATTCACAAAGCAGCTCTTTGGCTTCTCCTCCTAGCTATCTTACAAAGAACGATGCAAAAGCCTGGGGCTGGAACCTCTCTGGCTGCGCCGTACAAAGATCGGCTTAGGCGTCTTTTACAATATTCTCCATAAACGGATCTTCTCTTCGACTACCTAGTTGGACTTCAGAAACGAAGGTGGCTACCCAATTCGTAATCAAAATTTCACTTTACCCCTCTTGTTCTCCAGGGCCTCCATTAGGAACAACTTATTTACCTCTGTGTTCTCCAAGGTATGGAACAAACTTCCGAAAGAGATCCGATCATCTCCATCCATTCACCTCTTCAAAGGTGCAATAAATAAATTCCTCACGGTCCAAACCATGATCCAGCTTACCAACTCAATTTTGACTGAAGAAGGCGCTTTTGCATTGGGGCTGCAGTTCTAAAACGGCATAATTCATTGTTGCTTTTTCATTTTCTATGCAGACGCGCTATGACCTACTCCAGAAAAGACAGATTTTGCAATACATTATAGGGTCAAGCATAGGTCACTTCCCCGTAACCACACAATCCTCTTCCTTTTTATACCTTAACTACCAAAAGTATTTCCAACTTCGGTCAGGCACTTTCTTACTCCTCTATTTGTACCCTTGCTTCCCAAATATCTTTGCCCTGACGGAATCTAATTCGACGACACACCGAATAATTGAAATCACTTTTTTAATTTAATTTTATCCTAGGTTACGAAACCCTATTCGAGGGCATTCGCTCCAATGCTGTCGGTGCTACTGGGACTAAAATGTCCTTCGTATAACCTTGTTTCTTCACTTGAACTATCCTGCATCTACCACCTGATCCTCTTCTGTCCTGCATCTTGCCTGCTGAATGTCTCCAAACTTCAGCCGTGTGCTCTCTCGCCCCTGTATTTTCACCTTTTCTCCTATACTTTTTTCGTCGGTGTCTGTATGGTGCGCTTTACGAATGTAAGCATTGCCGTTTGTATTTTCATCGCTAGGTTTTAATAATGGTCATTCGTCCAACCTGTTCTCTTGGTTCAATTTATCGGTCTATTTTTAGGACGGTTCTGAAGTTCTAGCAGTAGATTGCGCGATAACATGCATGTTTCCTTTTTTTCCTCTCCCACTCATCAGCTTGGAACCAAACCTAGATTGTTTCGTATTTCCGGCTTCTATTCCAGAGATCTTCTGCTATAAGACTCACGGCGATTCCTGTCGGATCGGCACGATACTCACCGTTGAAGAAAACTGAAGTAAACCAAAAAACCAAAAGCTAAACTCTATGAAATCTTCTATCGATTGAACCGTTTCATTAAAGAATTTCAATGTTGAGTTGCAGGCCCACACGCAGCGACCCAAACGCCTCGTGTTTTCTTATCGATGATAGAAGACCCGGCGAGGCCTAAATCTTCTCCTCCCCGTCTTGACCCGATCACCCTCGCCCAAACAGTGATTTCACTCAGAAGTTAGCCGTACCAACAGGACTTTATATAAACATTTTTTTCAAACGCAAATCTTCCAGTATACACACAAAATAACCTTCAAAACAACTCCACTCATCCAGCTTTTGTGCCTTTCCAACTCCACACGATCAACGTTTGACATCTTTACCGCGTCCACTATGCGCAGTTTTGATTTCTCTTCCCTGATTGAACTCAGTTATAGACGACTTGTGAATAAACTGTTTCATATCTCGATACAGTTGGGAGGACTTCTGTGATCACTAAACAATGGGCTTCGGGGCTTCACCGTTAACGGACTGATTGATTTTAATTTATAATATTTAGGCGTTTGTCGCTTTGATATGGAACTGACTACACGCTGGACACCCAACCTTAAAACACCTAGTAGGTGAGGCAAGGGGTGTGATCCTCAACCTGGTCCGGAATGCGGACGCATGTAGTCTGAACGGTGGATACAACCGCGCCCAACAACCATTGCCGGAGCCAAATTGTCCATTGTGGGTGTAGACCCCAAGCCTTCGGCAGGCCCAAGCCNGCCAACCGAATCTGCAATATAAAGGGTAAAACTCGGCAGTCTGGGGTAGTGCCCAGCTGAGAAGTGAAGAGTGGGATAGCGTGTTGCGAAACAAAATACGGAGGGCATAAGTATCCGAAAGCATATATATTGATATCCAAATATAAAAGGAAAATGCGCACACAACAACACGCAGGTCAAATAGAGGAAGCCAATCAGTGGATTCGAAACAAAAGGAAGGAATTATAATGTCAAGTATTCAACGAGTGGGGTTGGTTCCACTTCTCGAGGTTTGAGACTCGGGATGTGTACTGTGTGTGTAGACAATGGAATACAATGTGAGCACAACTGCTGCATCAGAATGTGTCACAGATAGAGAGAAGCTTAGCGGTGAACTGGAAGTGCGAAAGTTAGTCAGGTAAGTTGTTTGGGTGCTCTAGTCTAAGAAAACAATCTTCATGAGGATTCCGGAATAAATAAGGTTGTCCACTGACCGTTTTGTGTTTATCTTTGTTTCTTGCCCGCAAGCAGATCGCGTTCCGTTCTTTTCTCAGCCTCAATAACTGTCGACCCAAATGTTCTGCCATTTGTTGAACAAAATAAACGTGCATCCCAGCATGCCTCACGACTTTCGTTGTGAAATATACCATAATTATTGGTAAAACATTTCCGTAGAACTTGTATCATAAATGATGTGGTAGGCGTAGTCGTAACGAATACCTCTGGCCATTTGGAGTATGAATTGATCAGAACAAGGGCCTAGGAACGGTTCAGAAATGGACCACAGAAATTCAAAAGAAACTCTATGCCGTGGTATATATCTTCCCGACCATGGTGTCCAGTTTTTCGATCTTAATCGTAATTTATGTAAACAATACTCACAGTTCTTGGCTGTTGCGTAAATGTCTGTGTCCAACTCCGGCCACCAAAACATCTGTCGAGTCAATGATTTCATCTTCTCCACCCCCATATGTCCTTTATGCAATTCTTCTAGTACCGTCTTCCGTAGTGGCGGTGGGATTACCAATCGATCGTCGCAACACAATACACCATTCAATTGTAGTGACAACTCCTCTCGGTGAGCAGAGAATTGAGGATACTTTCTCCTTACCTCTGGTGACCAGCCTTTCTTGATCGCTGAGAGTATGACTGAGTAGTACTGTTTGATAGATTTGCATAAAGATTCCGGGGACACTGGTAATATTGGAGAGATTAAATGACACTGTTCGGCCTCAGAAATTCGTGAGAAGCGAGAGCAGAAATCGGCCTGCGGGATTTTCTTTCCTGGACGATGCTGGATGTCATAGTTATATGCGGCTAGAGCGATACTCCACCTATTCAGCATAGCAGCAGTGGACTTCGAGATGGATTGGTTGGGGTTGAACAAGAACTGTAGCGCTTATTGATCAGTGATGATGGTAAACCGCAATCTGAAAAGGTACTTGTGCAATCGTAGAACAGCCCAAAATACAGCCAACGTTTCTTTCTGAGTCTGTGAGTATCCGTTTTCTGCTGCATTGAGTACACGTAAAATTCAGATTACTGGGCATCCTTCTTGTTCCAAGACAGCACCGATTCCGACGTCGGACGCATCGGTGATAAGTGTAGTCGGTTTTGAAGGTGAAAACGGGGCCAGAACAGGACGATCGGTAACGCAGCGAATTAAACCACGCAATATATCTTCAGACTCCACCGACCATTCCTAAGCGCCTGAACACTGAGCACGGAAAAGCGGCTGCACACTTGCAGCAAAGTTTGGTATAAATCGGGAATAGTACTGTAGGCATCCCATCATGGATCTCAAATGCGTTTGATCTTTTGAAGATTTGATTATATTCAATGGTGTGAAACCTGTCGGATCGAGACGGTATCCACGGCAATCAACTGTGAATCCTAGAAACTCCAACTCAATCACTCCAAACACACATTCGGACGGCTTGGTAACCACGTTCCTGGCGCCAAATCGTTCCAGTAGCTGCGTCAGACGGGTATCGTGTTCTTTCTAATTAAGGCCAAAAATGAGGACGTCATCTTGATATGCAAGCACACCGTCGAGCCCTTTGATTACACTGTCAATTGCCGATTGAAAGAGGCCAGATGACACATGCAATTCGAATGGGAGAAAATTGTACTAGTACGTTCCCCACGGCGTGTTGATTGCTGTCAAGTAGAGAGATTCGACATCGAGTGGAATCTGTAGGTAGGCGTCCGCCAAATCGATCTTCGAAAAATACTGGCATCCATGCAATGACTTAATGAAATCATCTGGTTCCATGGTGGTTGCTGCACATCTCCTCAATCTGGGATTCAAAGTTAGTCGATAGTCTCCGCAGATCCGTGGTTTCCTACCATCACTTTTCATCGCCACGACGATCGGAGTAGCCCAGGCACTGGATTCAACTTTACTTATCACACCATCCTGCTCCATGTTCTGTAATGTTTTCAAGACACCTTCCCGTTCACCGTATGGGAGGACGCGTCGTTTTAGGAAAACAGGTTCACCGTCCACTTCCAACTTCACCGACGGTACTTTNCAAAATCAAATGTTGAAGATGTGAGGTGATTGTCATATCGTTGTCGGTGTGTAGTGTGATGGATCCTTGTGTTATCCGCATTGCTCGAAGGCCCAGAATAGACGGGCTGTGGGCTGATACCAGGAATCGGATTGGGATTGATACACCGGATTCAGATTGAAAACGCAACATCGTTTCACCAAGTAATTGCAACTGATGGCTAGTAACCCCATGAATGCGCACAGAAGTCGGGGCTAGAACAGCATTAGTGTGGTTGAGTGATGATTTCTGTAGGATTGATTCGCTGCTTCCTGTGTTCATGATGAATCGATACTCCACACCAGACTCCAACCTCAGTGGGGCAAACACGAACTGACCGTTGGGTTCAGTGGTCTGCAGTGTGTAAATTGGGCTTGAGTTCTCATCTGCCGTTGGGACATGGGAGTCGATGAGGTTGCACTTGGGCATTCGGCATACTTTGCGGATATGGCCCATATTACTGCATGCATGGCAAGTGGCATTAAGGAATCGACAGTTCGAACGAAGATGGTATTCGCCACACGAAAAGCAACGGTTAGTGGCAGCCTTCGATTGTGTTCGGCTTGAACTGGGTACTTGAGGAACCTGGGGTGAATTATGAACATTGGGTGCGTCACGTAAGGGTTTCGTTGATCGCCGATGAAATAACACAGGAGTATCCGCATTTGTGGCAGCACACAAATCGTCACTTTGCCCACAGATTTTCCAAGCCTCAGCGAACACGATGCCTTTCTTTTCCAACATCTTACGTTGTAATGAGATGTTGCTGATTCCCGCAATGAGACGGTTACAAAGTTGTTCTTCCAATCGGTTACCATAGTTGCATTTTGACGTTTCAACTGGAGAATGAAGTCACGGCACGGCATGTTGGCAGCCCTGATTATTGAGTTGTATTTGGCCCGTTCAGTGGCCTAAAAATCCACTGGGAGAATGTGGTCCAGCAATAGGGATTTCAACTTCTCGAACGGCAATTCAGCAGGAATAATCGGGAACGCTAGATTCTTCACCAGGGAATAGAGCTCTCGGGCGCCCAACGTCAAAAGTAGGACCGACTGATTTTGCATTCCTCCTTTTCAGATGCTGCACCATAATTTGAATCGTTCTGCCCACCCTTCGATTTATGATGGGCTTTCGTGCAGGTTCAATGGCCCAATGACAGGAATCTACATTGCGCGACGCCAAATTGTGGTAATCGAAATAGTATTGAATTTAGTAATAGGAGAATCCGCACTGTACTGCTCAGAACTGAATCGGCTCCAACCCGAACTGCGGATACCAAGGAAATACACGAGGAATTGATAATAGCAAATGCTTATGTTTATTGATGGAATTAGATAATGTTTTATAGAATGCAGCAGTCCATATGATTGGTTGAACGAGCATCCTCTAATCACGTAACCGTTCGCACCGACCTATCATATGTGCTAACTCCGATGTCATGTTCGCCCAAAGTACCATTGATCGAGCTTCCTGAACGGTGATTAGATGACATGGAACTGTACCTAGTCGTGCATGGATTGCGGTCACGGAAGTCTGAATCACCACAGGTATTCCCACAGGTAGCCGTGTAATCAGAGGTGTTTTATTTACGGGAGGGCCGTTCTGAAGCCCAACGTGCTCTATCTTTTAGATTTCTCACCGTTTGCTCCTGTGTTCACACCGCGACTGACAACTGACCGACGATAAGCCAGTGGTAGGTATGGCGGTATTATGCAAAGAAATATGCATCGCTGATCCTGCATAGGTGAAAGGAGCATCATGGCATAAAGTACTTTCCTCTGAAATTAGCCCAAGTCTTATGTAGGTCAGGGCGGTGAGCCCCATGTTTACCTCTTATCAAAACGACTGTGAGACCAAACGGCGGCAGGGAAGCTGATGCTCCCGTACCTCAAAAATAACCAACAAATCATGAGCCAGAGTGGTGAGCGTGGTTCACTCCCCTGGAATTCGAGAGATGAGCGATAGAAGACCTATAGTGAGCGGAGTTGGGGACAACAAACCTAATTACGACTCATTGAGGCATCCACTACTCCAATTGAGCACCGATCCTGTAACTAATATGAACCTGATGGGGAGAAGAGAGTGAGAAAATGATACGTCATGGGTAGAGGTTTAAATGGGATGAAAAACTGCACGCACCTGTTTTGTCCAGTAACAGATTGCAGGTCGAAATGGTAGATGAGGTAGCAGAGGGGCACTATACCGACCACCACCATCCTCCTAAACCGGGTATAGGCTGGGCCACTGGATCTTCTTCACCTGACTTTCTTCCTTTCAGTATAAAAAAATCTATTGACTCGCAGTGTTGGGAGCCACATAAACAGCCAACAATACATCAATCGGGACACAAGGTTGGCCCTAGCTTCACATCGTCCTGTGCAAACTGAACTGAGCTGAACTGGTACGTTTTGCTCTGGGAACCTGATAGGGTCAGCGATGCCACCGTGCTGTAGACAGACTCAGATGGCTCAATAGCCAAAAGGGTACCTGTTGTGTACCACCACCATATGAAATGCCTCGGCAACCTGGATGCCATCGGCTCATTAGCATATCTTAAAGTGTGTGTTGAAAGGTGAACATAGGAGACGTGGAGTCTGGTGAATGGAAGAG